GAGTCCTTCCTTAAGGCAACAAGCCGGGCTGGTGGAACGGGGCAGGGAAGACACCGGAGGCATTCGAGAGGAACTCTGATCCTCCCTTGGCAGATACGCCTTGATTTGTATTCCTGCCTCAAACAGAGGGTTGGACTGGATGGCCTTGCGGGCCCCTTCCAACGTCCACTTCTCTATAATTTCATGATCAGGATGGAGTGATTATCCACAAATTTTCTCACTCTGGACAGGAAAAGGATGTATCCATAATATCTGGGGGTGACCATTGCCAAAAATAAAAACAAAAACCTACGGAAGTGTGTTCGTTGGGTTCGTTTCTACACAAGAACAAAACAGACAGACAAAAAAAGAGACCAACGCTTTCTTTTTTTTTCCAGTCGGCCATACTCTAACCCTCAAAATCCTGTGGTTTTCATGTGAAAAAAATAATATTTTCCTTTTAAAAAAAAAAGCAAATTTGCACAAAATCCAAAGGATACCAAAGACAAAGGATTCGCCCAATAACAGCTGGGCAAATTTTGGATGAAAATGTGCCAAAATGGAGGGTGAGAGAGCAATTATCTCTTGTAACCAAACCTAGGATAATGCAAACTTCTGGAGTCTTTCATACAGGCCAGGATTTCCATTCCTCATAGGCGATGCATGTTGCCTCGCTCACTCTCAAGCCAGAAATAAGAACAATTTTAAAAAAAATCTGTATCCAGTGATCGGTGGATCCTTCCAAGCGAGGTAAAGGAAGCATTAAAACAGCAAACCTTGGCAGTTCCTTCCTGCTGCAGGGGATGGGGGGGGAGAGAAATCACTCGCTTTTTCAAAACATCATCTTCTTCTTTACTTTGCTCTTCTCGTGAGTGGGAAAGCTTTCATGTTGCCAGGACTTCTTCCCCACACCCCCCGCCCTTCTCTCCCTCTGTATCTTCAAGAACAGGAAAATGGGCCAGCGTGAATCTCTGCAAATCGTTTGTGGAGAACGGCGAGCGAGCGGCAGCATCTCAGCCCTGCAAACCGGGCTTTCTCGGAGCCTTCTCTCTTTTTCCTGCAGCCTCCCCCCTCCCCAGGCTTGCAGGTGGACAAACCATGGAGCCCGTGTGGGGAAGGAAGGAAGGAAGGAAGGAAGGAAGGAAGGAAGGAAGGAAGGAAGGGCCACGGGCTTTAAGACCTTGGCAGCTCCCCTATTGAAAGCCACAGCAGCACCCCAGGACAACCACGGAAAAAGGAGTAGCCACGGAGAAAAATCACAAATGTTCACGAACAGCAGACCAGCCCATGGTCCGCAGTGCCCAAGAACGACGGCCGCCAAGAGCTCACCCAAAGCAAAAGGTACGCGGCTCGAGACCAAGAGGAAGAATCGGGGGGGGGGGCAGAATCTCGCCGCTGAGGTCCAGGCAGGACAGAGGGATGATGATCCAGACTGCAACGAAAGCCACCCCACGGTCCAGAGGGCCAGCAGAGCAGCAGACCCTCCGCCCCTTCTCTGGGGTACGCCAGAGACCGTGGGTCGCCAGCGCCTTCCGCCTTCAGACCAGCCCTGGCACGGCATTGGGTCTGGCCCGCCATCACGGGCACCCTTCAAGAGGCTGGAGGGGAGAAGCCCCCGGGGGCTCCAAAAACCAGAGAGGAGACCCTCGAAGGTTGTTGAGCAACACCTCTGGATCCAGGCGCTAGAGCCGGACCGGACTGGACCCGGCACTCAGGCCACACAAGCTGGGGAGGAATCCAGTCTGGGGCAGGGGCACTGGCCCCTCGGCGGTCCTCTCCCTTGCCGGGCCCTGTCAAGAGAATGGCATCGAAGCCGGCAGAGGGAGAAGCCATCGCCTCTGTGCCGTGGACAGCAAAGGGAAGCCCAGGATGGCATTAAGCGTGCAGGCTGATGGGCTTTGTAGTTGCACCCCAGAGCCTGCACTGAGAGGGCCCTCTGCTGTACCCACCCACCCTAGGAAACGAAGACGCTCCCAGAAACCCTTCTTCTTGCACCCCAAACCGTTTGCAGGAAGGGGGCCCAGAAATAAACAAATGCCGGGCACAGACAAGGACCAGATCTGAGAGTCTCCCCTGGCCGATATTCAGGCCTTAGTGGGGTGCAGCCCAGATTCGGGGGGTGGGGGGGTGCCTCCCTAGATCTTTTTCCTGCAACAGATGAAAGGCAGGCAGATTCCGCCCCCCTGGGGGTGATCCGGCAGATCCTGGCAGGGCCAGAAAGGATTTCCTTGCGCCTTGCGTGCAAGCATCACCTTGAAAACTGGAGCCCAGAAGCCCGGCTGCTGTCCGTGTTCCCGACCCCTCTTCTTTCCTTTACACCGGATAGAGAAGAGTGAGAATCCTTCCAGCGCCAAGGGCTCCCTCATGCACCGGAAACCTTCATGCCCATGAGCTGAAGGAGAGGGCGAGCGCGCCAAAGGCCAAAACTAGAAGTGCCAAAGAGTTAAGAGGCGAAAATGCCAGAAAGCCCAAGAGTACAGGTCGGGCCTCAAACTCTAGCGGGATTTTCTACACTGCCCGGCATCCCTTCTTCCCCCAAGCGTCCCCCCTTCCAGGCCTGCCGCGGGAAATTGGAGACGGTCAAGACAAAACCGCCACCTCAGGGCGAGCGCGCCAAAGGCCAAAACTAGAAGTGCCAAAGAGTTAAGAGGCGAAAATGCCAGAAAGCCCAAGAGTACAGGTCGGGCCTCAAACTCTAGCGGGATTTTCTACACTGCCCGGCATCCCTTCTTCCCCCAAGCGTCCCCCCTTCCAGGCCTGCCGCGGGAAATTGGAGACGGTCAAGACAAAACCGCCACCTCACCCTGACCCCTCTTTATTTATTTCATTTATTTATTTATTTTATACCCCGCCTATCTGGTCAATATGACCACTCTAGGCAGCTCTTCTTTCCTTTACACCGGATAGAGAATAGGTCTCCCTCCTCCCATCCCCATTTGGGGTGCAACCATCTACTTTTAATCCACGCCGGTATTTCTTGTCCGTCTTGCATGGTGTTCCACCAGGGGTGAATCAGGGTGTGTGTGTGTGTGTGTGTGTGGGGGTGGGAACACATCTCCAGTTTGCAGGAAGGCAAAACAGAAAAAGAAGCTGCTCAGACTGACTGTGCAAAGTCTTGAAGGTCTCCCTCCTCCCCATTTGGGGTGCAGGCATCTACTTTTAATCCACGCCGGTATTTCTTGTCCGTCTTGCATGGTGTTCCACCAGGGGTGAATCAGGGTGTGTGTGTGTGTGTGTGTGTGCAGAAGGTACACTCATTAAAACAAAACATTGCAATGGGATCCAAAGGCAGCCCGCCACAGTGAACGGAAGTTTCTTCCCCCGCCAGAATCCCCCCCACCCGATGCCATCTTAAGCGCCTAAGTGGAGTGACTCAAGGTTTTGTTTCCCACGGCTGGCAATGTCAACAACGATCCTGCCAAGGCCTTCCGTTTGCCTCCAGCCCTGCCCAGCAGACGAGGAACGGCCCACGCAGAGCCCCTTTCCGTGATGAAGCAGACGCGCCACGGCCATCTCTCGGCCCCGTCCCGCCCTCTGAAAAAGGGGTCGCCATCCGGGAGCCCAAAAATTAAAAACTCTTTTCAGATTGTAAAGTGGCCGAGGAAGAAAGAAGTGGGCGTGAAAGAGGAAGGGACGCAGGCTGGTGCTCGGGAGCAAATTCTTTCTCAGGATTAAAAGTCCACATCCCATCTATGCTGTAGTTGTTGTTGTTAAGGATGTACAGCCCAGCTTACAACATTCGTATTTCGGAAGTACAGTCTGAACGACAGACTAAATCGGACCGTTTCCGATCCATTTCCGGAAGGTCTGGATGGAAGCAAAACAGCCAGATTCCGTTCCAGGAGAAACAACGTGAATTTCTGTTCAAGCCCCCTTGTATGGGGCACAAACTGCAATAGGGGTTTTCCTCTGTGTCTTTCCTGGTGCACATTTTAAAAGTTCTGTCACCTGCAACCCCTGAAAATGGGAGGTTTCACATTTAGCAGCTTGGCTCCCCCCTTTAATCCTGGTCACGTCTATGGGGAGGGGGTTTCCCTATGACAAATTGCCCAGATGTCCTGACAGATCCGTCCTTCCCTCACCCACGAGGACGTTTCTTCTGCCCCAGCCTGTCTAAATAACTCATGTGCTTCGGAATCTGCCACAACCTGGGGGGGGGGAGCGAAGCCGAAAGAGGCCGGCTGTGGTTTGCAGCAGCTTTACCCCATCCCTCGGAGATGGAACCTTTCCCTCCCAGGAAATACTCCACCCAGCCCAAAACAGGCCATCCATTGATTTCTTTTATCTAATTTGATTCAACTTTCTGGGGACTTTTGTGTTTTTCGGCTCCTGGGTACTCAGGTGGAAAACGCCTGGGGGGGGGGGGTTCCCACTTGCATGGGAACCTTTCCATCGTCGACCAAACCCTGGAATTCTTCCCCAGGTCAGACGGATCAAAATACGCAACACACAAGGATGACCAAAAAGATCCCAGTACATGAGTGTCCGAGAACGCCAGCCCCATAACCCTTCACCACATCCATCATAACAATCAACAACAGCTGCCGGGGGTGGGTGGAAATATACAATTAATTCTCTTATCAGCTCTCTTTTCCACCCCCCCAAAAAGGAATAGAAAGTTAGAAGGAGCAGAGTGAAGAGCAAACAGAGTTACTTTTCATCACTGTAATGAATAAGTAACAAAAAACAAGTTACTTTCCAAAACCGAGGGGCGTTAACAGGAATGAAGTACGTCTTTAAAAGGGGACTTTTCTCAGCTCTAGTGTGAACACTGTCAAGGCCACATGGCCACGATCCATCCCACAGGCAAAGCATGCGGTTTGCTCCCTTGCCTGGCCAGGTTGACTTCTCCTGAACATGGAGGTTCTAAAGACACCCACCCACACCCATCACGGTGCGTGGCTCCCAGCCGCTGGAGAAGATGACCCTCTGAGAGGAAAGGGGTGTTTTCTTGCCAAGGTGAGCCACGAGGGTGTGTGTGTAGGGGGGGGAAAGAGGTGGGGAGGATTAGGGCTCCTTACCTCAATGATGTCTGCATTGGTCCGGCTCTCATGAGGCTCATTGTACTCCGTGTATTTCAGCAGCACTTTGTCCATGTCGGTACTGGCGTACTGGAACAGCTTGTTAGAGTGATTGAAGATGATGAGGGCAATCTCGCAGTCACACAGGACGCTGAGCTCGTAGGCTTTCTTCATCAGCCCGAACTTCCGCTTGGTAAACGTCACCTGTCGGGGAACAAGCCACGAAAGAGAGGAAGAGGGTTAGTTAGGGTCAGGCAGGATTTCTTCCATCGGTCTCAGAAGAGCCCAAAAAAGTCAGGGCCGGAAGGGTTCCCTGGGCGCCTCTGAGCACCCGGACAGATCGACCGAGGCTTCCAGGGAGGCCGCAATGACAGAAAGGAGAGCTTTACGGCCTCGTCAGGATTTGCAAATTGGACTTAATGGTAGCACGAAACAAACAAACAGGGCCTCAAGGGGAAATGTTTGTGAGGAAGGTTCTAAAATGTTCTCACAAAAATTGTCTCCCTGGATTTCAGGACCAGAATCCTTAATCTGATTTGCTGGGAACCCCTCTCTCGGAAGACCTTGTTCCTAGACTACGAGAAGATAAAAACCTTCCTTTCTCCGGAGCAGCTGCTAAATTCGTTGCTCCTGCTTAGTCCTCCACAATCATTAAACCCCTTTTAGAGTGTCTAAAAATTTAGTTTTATGAGGCTTGGTAAATTTTTTCATGAGCTTCAGAGGGAGGAAAGGAAAGACAATCAGAAAGAAAAACGACAGGATAGGAATCGCACCACTCCGACCCCACTTTAAGCACTATTAAAAATTTAAAAAAATCCTAGGAGCTGAGATTTGGCAACGGGGTTTAGAATTGTCCTCTAAATTTCAGCAGACAATTTGAAGTCCTTCCCAAAAATCCAAATACAAGGAAACACCCACCAAACACCCACGCTTCCTGCTCTGAGAACACAAGAGATCTGCGGGATTGATGCTCAGAATGTAGAAATCGGGGTGGGGGACACTTCCGTGGTCCCCAAACCTCCTTTTATTATTCCCGTTATTATTTTTTTTACTCGAAACACGAAGACAGGGAGATTTTGTGCAAAATAAAAGCCCCCGATTTCCTGAACCCTGAAGATCCTGTTTTGGCAGCACAGGGATGACCATGTCCCGACGACGGGCTTCGGGACCAAAGGGGCAGGTCGGAGCCCCTAAGTCAGCAGGCTTGTCCCACGTGCCCACGATCCCTCCCCAGCTATCTGTGCCCAAGTGAGGCATCACAACCCAGAGCCGCTGGTTCAAATGCAAGTGGGCGAGATGTTTCCCGGTGCCCGCAACGGACACACACCGCAGCTGCTGCTTCCCTGCAAAGCCTTTTAGAGGCACCAGAAGGGTTTATTTCGCATTTTCTTCCTGGAACCGGACACTCTTCCCCGGCTTGCTTTGTGCTTTTGCTTTACAAGATGGAAAGTTTGCATGAAAAGGCGATTTGTGCATATTATGGAAACTCCGATGGTGGCGGTGGTGGTAAACCACACGACCACAATAAACTCCTTATTTCGTTCTTGTGTGCCCGGTAGCTAGCCGTTTCTCGCCACCCTGCGATATCTGGAGATGGCTTGTCCCGTCGGGACCCGCGAGGGCTTACAGGATCCTGGAGTCGGGAGGGGCCTCGAAGGCCATCGAGTCCAACCCCCCCCCACTCACGGCAGGAAACCCCCATCAAAGCAGATCCAACTGAGGGTGGGGGCCCCGTTTGCTCTGTTGTGAATCTCCGGTACACATCTCTGGTCCTCCACTCCCGAGGCCGCGCGGAGCGCCACAAAATCCTCTTTACTAAAAAGAAGACAGATGGCATCTTGGCAGGGAGCAACTGGGGTGAATGCCACAATCCGCAGCTTCCAATTGAGACAGAGCAGCCTGCGGGTTCAAATGGCACTTATGGGCAGGGGGGGGGACATCCAGGGCAAGGAGGAAGACCTGGACAAGCCGCAAGGGGACATGGGTGGCCCAGTCTCCTAGGCCACACGGCAAAGGGCAGAAGCCAAGCAGAGCTTGGATGCACCCTGAGGTGCTACCTTTTTGCATGCTCGGAGGGGAGGGGGAAAAGGTGTCACAGGTCAGCATGTTCCATTTCATTTTTTTCAAAGCACCCATATGAGAAAAAAAAGTGTCATGATGGAAATGAATTAATCCTTGTTTCCACACGTTTGAGACATTTATCTCTTCCTTAAGCTCCAGGGAGCTGAAGGACTCGACTCTCCTCTCCTCTCCTTCACATGACAACGGGAGAGGTGGAGAGCATGTGGGAGACTCAAGGGGCCTCCACGGCACGGTCTTGAGTGACAAAAGGACAGCAGACCTACGATCGTTCAGCGTCCTTTTATCTATTGCAAAGAAAATGTTTTTTAAAAGTGTTTTTAATGTTGGCTTTTAATGTTAGGGTCTTACGGTGTTTTTAATTGGGACTACTGTGTGTCCACTGGTGCGGAAAGGCAGGGTGTCGAAAAAGCCAGACCCGTTCCAAGCCTCTACCTTGAAGCTACAGACAATGTGTGCATACACACAACACACACACACTCTCATACACACCGCTTGAGCTTATCCCCCCCCCACTGCCTTTCAGCAATGTCACCCTGGCATCCATCTTTTTACGAGGCAATGCCGGCCCGCAGGCTTCGGCTGACAAAGGCCACTCGATCAGTGACAGGGCGCCCTAAGCGTGCCGCGCGTGCGTGTATCTGAAAGGATGCACAGCAGCAAGCAGAAATCTGGGAATCCTCCAAGGCATTTCCTTCTTACTAGATTCGGGAGGTGTCTCTTCTTCTCCGTACCGTCTTGGCCAGACGAAGCCCTTTTTGGGCTTTTGTGCAGCCCGAGTGCTGGGCTAAAAAGCGACCCCACAGGGGGAGCAAACACTAGAAATCGGGACAGGGAGAAACACACCAGCGATCTCAATGTTAAAGAAGTGTGTGTGTGTGTGGGGGGGGAATCATTACTGGCCTCCTGCCCACTCCAAGCCTCAAGCTAGCTGGTTTGAACAGAGGCAGGGGCTTTACAAGAGCCGACATAGTTTAATAAATTCATTTTTTCAACGCTCACGCAATTAGCCAAAAAACCCAGTTTTCTTTTTTCCAAAAAACCCTCTGGATTTAACGCAAGGAATTCCTTCTTGACACCAGAAATCTTGGCTTAGGCCTTCCAAAACCTACAGAGGTTTAGCGTTCACAAATTCGTTTAGCGATCATTGGGATACTGTTCGGATCACCCACTTCAGGAAGGCGCTTTCTCAGTGTCCGTGACAGAACGATCGTTTTCCTGCCTCCCACTTCATTCTGCTCCCGTGCTCCTTGTTCTCTCTAAACTTGTGACCTAAATATTGTATTCTATATTTCTGCAGAAATGGATTGCAATCCACAAAATCTCATGCCAAGATAATCTAAGGTTTTCATTCTAATTAGACATCCTGAAACACACCAAACATGGCTACCTCTTTGGACCGTTCTATCAGCATGCCTCTAATTATTTCAAGCGGGAAGAGAAATCTTAATAACATGAACATAAAACAACTTTACAGTTAATGTTTGAGCTCTGGTGCTCGTCCTCCACCCTAGCTAAGCTGCATAGCTCCTATTGCCCCTTTCCAGTTACCTTATGGATCATACAATTCGAGAAGGGATCAGGAGCTTTTCCTGAGGAAGAGATGCAACGAGAAGGAAACGTCCTGGGAGAGTCACAGAGACAGCCAGATGGAGGGGGGAACCCCTTGACCTTCCCTAAGGAACTACGTACTTCTTAATATTTGGATTGTTACTCTGAGGCTCTGCTTTCTTCCTGCTTCACCTCTGGCTTTGCTCTTCTTAGAAGCATCAGCCAGAGGTCTCTGTAACCTTTGCAAACATGTTTGCTGTCATCAAAAATCAAGTATAGGGATTTTAATAAACTACACTAGAATTCCATTTTCCCCCCTGATCTACTCATGAATAGATTTTTGAAACAGAGAGAAATTCGGCTTCTGGATGCCTTGAGAATAGCCATTCTCCCGTCAAACGTGCTTTCTAAGTGCCACCTTTTAAGCCACCACTTTTTCAAAATTAAATATTGGTTCTGACAAAATCAGAAGAAGACTCTCATGCAACCCTGCTCTCTCTCTCTCTCTCTCTCTCTCTCTCTTTTTTCCCCCTAATTTTTGGGTGAACCCCCTCCCCCAGTGGATTGAGAACCACCAGGGGAGTTCCCAAATAAGTTCCTTCCTCCTTTTTCAAACTCGTTCCACACGTCTAAGTCCAGACCAACTTGTGGCTCCCTGGAACTGCAGGGCATGGAAACAAACCAGAAACAAACCTCGGTTTACCAAGTTGGCTTCTTCCCAAAACCGTAGCAAAGGACCGAACGGTCGCAAGAAAAATGCAAACAGAGGCACCTCCATCGGTTCATTTCATGCGGGCCAGTGGGTTGCTTTTTCAGAAACAACGATCAGAAAGCACAGCAGGCAGGGGGGTGGGACGGGACTGAGGTTTCTCACACATTGAAACTGGCGCATGAGGCAGCTGGTGAGAGAGAAGCACGACACGACACTCCATTGCGCCAAAAGAAAACCCGCAAGTGAAAAAGCTCAACAAGAAACAGGCCGATGAAAACAGGCCACGATGGGTGGCAGACAAAGGTTTAGTGAAGCAAAAACACTAGTCCTGCCTCTCTCTCTCTCTCTCTCATTCTCTCTTTCTTCGTAGGCCCCAAGCAGTTAACAAGATTGGTCTCTAATCGCCTGCCCCCAACCCCCTCCGCTCCGTCCCGGGTGTGCAAAGATGGCACACAACGCAGCTGTCGCCCACCACGTGAGGTGGCTAAGCCGCTGTGTGTTTGTCTCTTGGCCTGCCTGCCTGCCTGCCTCCAGCCGCCGGCCGTCACGTTGCCCGTCTCTGGGACAGCCCGGCCGGGCTCTTTCCCAACCCAGCTGGTGGTCAACGGCGGGCTTTGACCTCCCCCTGCTTCGCCTCCAGCCCTGAGCGTGCCAAGAGACAGCAGCGGAGAGGCTGCCTGGCTGCCCGATCTCAGGGAGACGAGCCCCCTCTGGTTGGCACAGGCTGGGGGGGGGAGCTGGATCTTGGGGGCAGATTTCAGAGACCCTCCTGATGCCACCACGCTCGGGCAGACTGAGAAGGCCACCCCGCCCCCCTTTTGGAGTTCACTCATTTTGGAAACCGGCGTGAGAAAATTCCAGC